ACAAAGTGAAGTAGACTATTTTGGTGTCGACTCACCTGTGTGTTATCTATCAACTATAAGAATTCTTCTTGCTTTGACATCTATTAAACACTATGTTGTGCATGAAATGGATGTAAAGACAACTAGTGGATGACATGTTAATTTTTGGTTTTGATCATTCTGTAGTGAATGACATAAAAGCTAATTTAGCTAAAGAATCTGACATGAGAGATCTTGGTATTGCAAATACCATTCTTGGTATAAAAGTAAGCTTTGATAGGAAAGTTGTCTCCCTTAGCCAGACTCGTTATATTGAGCAGCTACTTTCTACCTGGGGATACAGTGAGTGCAAACTGAGTGAGACACCATGTGATTATAATAAAAGACTGAGTCCTCATGAAGGGACCAGCGTGGATCAGTTAAAATATTCAAGACTGATTGGTAGTCTCATATATGTTGCAAGTTGCACTAGACCTGACATAGCCTTTACAGTTGGCATGCTGAGTCATTTCACTAGTAATCCTAGTAAAGAGCATTGGGATGCCCTCGATAGGCTGATGCGATATCTTAAAGGTACTAAAGATTATGCTCTACACTACTCTGGTTATCCTTCAATTGTGGATAGATATTCTGATACGTCATGGTGTTCAGAAATCAGAAATAGTAAGTTCATCAGTGGATATGCATTCACTTTGGGTGGAGCTGTTATTACTTGGAAATCCAAAAGACAGACTTGTATTGCATTGTCGTCTATGGAATCAGAACTTTTTGCCCTAGCCTCAGCCGGCGAAGAGGCAAAGTGGATGAAGAATCTGATTATGGATATTCCTTTGACTCGGCTAAAGATTAATTCTTTAAGCCTGTTTTGTGATAATCAAGCAGCTGTCCAAGTTGTTAAAAAAATGCTCTCTTTAATTCAAAGAGAAGACATAAGATTGAGACATGCGTTGTTGAATTATCTGAGAAAATAAGGAGTTATCACCTTGATCGATGTGAGATCGAAGGATAACTTGGCTAATGCTCTCACAAAAGATATGCCTAAAGATCGATTATTCAAAACAGTGGGGGAAATGAGGTTAAAGACTATATAGATAAGTCTTAATTACCATTTACTTACCTTTTAATTGTGTGTTTTGAATTATCGAATCTTTCTTTTGTTGGCCAAAATGATAAGCATTGTTTATATGTTTCATCGATGTTCACAGTTGCTGATTAATTTGAAAAGGGTAAGTTGTCTCATTCCAAACTTGATGAAGATAACTTAAACCTGATTCAAAGGTTCTACTTAGGAAACTTGTGTCATTCCAAACTTGATGATACAATCCAACCTGGTTGGACCATCCTTTTGGTTAAATTATCTCATTCCAAACTTGATGCTAGATTATTTGACTTTGAGGAACCAGTAATTGTGACATTCCAAATTGAAACATTGAAATAGTTGTTTGCATAAGAAGCCTATGGGTCATGTTCTTAATTGAAACTTGACATCACATGACTAGGTTATTGTAAGTAACTTGACTATTGATTTTGTTCATTGAAACTAGACAATAGTTATTCTCTTACAAATAAACTTAAGTTGATGGCTCTTTGCAAAATAAACTATTTAGGCCTTGTTCATAATTTATGAAACTGGCTTGATGCTTATGAACATAATATTGCGATGCTTTATGACATTAATATATGTTCTTCTTTGCCTGATGATATGGTGCTAAGTCCTTTTAGTAGAACTAGACATCTTTGGTAGATTATTCAACTGATTGAATTCATAATAATATGAAATTCATACTTGATATTATACAGAGGATGGCAAAGATGGAGGAGAGCTTAATGAGAGGGATCTTGACTAAGATCACCTCCTTGATGAATGAATATATCATTTAGAGTATGTGGGGACTTGACAGTTCACCCGTTATTGCCCATTTTGATGGAGTCCATTTATTTGAGACTTACATTTTGCTATCTTTAATTTATGAACATTGTTGATTGAGAACTGATTTTGAGGCTTCTTTTGGATGTTGGGATTTGGATGAGTTTAGATTGAATCTAAAAATCTAAATATTTACTTTGGTATGTTGGTCTCAGAACAGATTCATGATAATGATGATTTATTTATTTAGATTGAAAATGACGATTGAGTTTAATATTTTACCATTAAAACTCTTTGATTGATCCGAGTTAACTGTCTTGGACTGGATATGAATGATTCATATTTGTTTGAACATTATATTGATCACTCTATTGGATTGTGCTATATGGTGAACATAGGAGGAGATTGTTGGATATATTAATAGTATAATCAATAATAGTATGTTCACATATAAGCCTAATAGGTGAAAGCATGGTTATTTGGGTCCATATGGGCTGGAGCCCAATAGCTTGTATTATATCTAGGGTTTCCTAAGCTGGAGGTAACAGTGTTGAGCATTCCAAACTTGATGTCTCTTGGTGTAATACTTTAAGCACCTCTGAACCCTTCTCTCTCAACCTCATAATCTCCAACAATTTCTTCAGCTCATAAATAACCCTCTCATATTTGTCATTTGCACAAACATGTCTATGAAAGGAAAAGTGAATAAAGAAACAAATTAAATCTATTTGCGTCTTAGGTGGTTCCAATCTGAAAAAAATAAAATAAAAAATAGTTTACGAGGGTATCAAAAGAGTTGGGTAAGACATTAGCGGTTAGAAAGATTAATCTTGTCTATTGAGGAGGAATTTATGGTTTAACTGGAACTGTTGCAGTGACTATAATTGTGAGGAAGTTTTGGGTGTTTGCTTATGAGATTTCGTTCATAGCAACAAATCCAGTTTTTTCACTGGGAATTGAGTTCAAGTTGTTGGGCATGCACAAAATACATGATTTACATAATGTTGATGTTTTCGTCGTAATACCTGGTGGGCTAGAAATTCTAGAATCATTTCACATTATTATGTTTTGGGAAAATTTAAACTTTCACCAAAAACCTTGAATATTGTTAAATATTTAAGGTTTCCATGAAATAACATGTAGTGAAACAAGAATTCATATTTAAAGTAACTCGTCGTCTTATAAAATTTATTTCTAATCAGTTATAAAGTATAGTACTTAGATCCTAATTTATCATTAACCAAAGTGATTCAACGCAACAAAAGCAGAAATAGAGGAAAGAACCAAATACCGATTATAAAACCCATGAGTTTCACCTTCCAATACAGGCCTGCCATCAGGAGAAAAACAAATTACTACTTATATGAAAAGGCAAAAGCTTTAAAAAAAAAAAGGCTTTGTTAATAACAAATCAATGTTTTACATTTTTACATTTGAGTAATCCCTCTTAAATTCAAAATAGACTTATGTTAGTATCTTTTTAAGGGATTAATGTGAGTCTTCTTTGAATTTCAGAGAGACCACGATTTCGATTAACTGAGTCTATTTTGAATTTCAGAGGAGTCACAAGTCAATTTTTTTTCTAAGGAATTAAAATGGATCTCGTAATTTTTGTTTTCGACTCAAAAGATATTTTACTTATAGATTAGAAAATATGCGTGCTTTCTTTTTTCCTTTTTTATCCAAGAAAAAAGTAATATAAATTTAATAATAAAGAAAATGGAATGTGAATACCGTTAATATTAAAAAAATCAAATTATGTTTTCAATTTCATTAAATTTAGACTCAAAATCTTCTCTAGTAGTAATGTTTCATGCAGAACCTGCAACCTGATTTTTTAGAAAATATGTTGTGTTTGTACCGAATGTTGTCAAACTCGAGTTTCTACGTAGAAACGGAAAGGGGTAATAGAGACGTAAAATGTAGAAACGACACGAAACGTAAAGTTTCTACTTTCTACTACTTAAAGTCAAGATACAAAATTATATATATGCATGTAAAAAAATATCACAAAATAAACATGTGTGTTGAGCCACTTACCTATCTAAAAAGAAAAATTATTTTTGATAACCAAGTATCAAAATTTTAAATAGTAATAACTAACAAGTAATGGATAACCAATCTGCTCTAACAATTTCATACACTCTGTGGATTTTGGATTATCGCTTATCAGGCTATAATTCTATTTCTTTCAATGCATACAATGATCCAAAAACACAAAACGATTCTCATAGCATAACTTATAACAGAATTGTAGCTTTACAAGACATAATTATAAAAGACATATATATAAACAAAAAGATATCAAGATACCGTGATGATTTCGGGAAAACGAAAATTGGATTTTTTTTTAATTTCTTTTTTTGTAAATCTTTTTTTTTTTAAATTTTTTCATTTAAAAAAAACAGTCAAAACGATAAAAACGTAAGTTTTTACCATTTTTATGTTTTTATGCGGTGTTTTTACCAGTTTTTATCAAAGACCGTTTTTACTTGCGTTTTAATACGCACCACTCTAGTAAAAACGTAAAAACATAAGTTTTTACATTTTTACACTAGTTTTTGACAACACTGTTTTTAACATTTATAAAAAAAATTAAAACACTTTAAGTGAAAAAAAAAAAAAAGTATTAAGATGTGAAGCAAGTTTAGGAACTCCTTCATCTTTCTTCTTTTATTAAGACATTCATACAGGAGAAACGGAAAAAGAGGCAACAGCATTATCCCTATTTGAAGGGAAAAGGAAATGCTCCTCCTTTCTTGTGGTCAAAGCTTTATGATCATTAGATAGTTTCAAAGGGAAAGTGACTGATGTATTAAAACAAAGCAAATAAATAGTGATCAACTAATGCTCTTCTTCTTAATTGGCCAAAGCTTCATAATCATTAGCTAATCTTGAAGGAAATGAAAAAAGGATGACACAACCCCAAGTGACAATGGTCTTAGAAAAACAAGTAATTGTGATCAACATTTCCCTAATTAATCTTTTGGAAAATGATCGCATGGATGCTAACACAAGTAAAAACTAAATGAACAATAGGACCAAATGAGCAACCAAAATAACATCTTTTGCCTAAAAAAACAAAACGTTCACTCGTAACTGTCATCTACAATTGAAAGATCCGCTTCAAACAATATTCTTGAGGGGGTGAGAACTAAATGTTCTTTTCTTTCTCTTTTAACCATTCAATAAAATTGTCCAAGATCAGTGGCCAGGCTTGACTGGAGTCATAACTTTCAAGATCTTGAATGTTAACCTGGCAGCAAGAAAAGGTCAAATACTTTTCTGCCTGAAACTTGTCAAAATGAAGCACGCCTACTTTTACCAATTGTGCATGTGTACAATTATATTCAAACAACATAACGCATATGATGGACTTAATAGAAAAGACCGAGACAACTGAAATGAACTGCTAGTGTTTATTTAACTGCCAAGTATGTGAATTGACGGGAGAAAGCACCAAGCAAACTCACAAGACTACGGAAAGTTCCGAACTTAAAGGTCATTAAGTTCTCTTCAGTAGGAGTTTGCCGTAAATTACATCTATTGACCGACGAATTCAACTGTCACATAGAATCTCATCGTCATAAAAGTAAGAGAAAAGTGTTTATCCTTTAAATGACACAACTTATATCTTTTCACTCTCACAAAGAGATGAGACTCATACTTTTATATTTTTTTATTCATTCTCTCTTCTCCTTTATCTATCTCTTTCTCTCATTTAAAATGACACAATTTTACATCCTTTAAAATGATACACACTTTTCTCTAAAAGTAAATATGAAAATGAAGCAAAATGAGAACAAGTATACCTCAGTAAACTACCATTTTCACAGCTTGCTAAGAACTTAAATTTTGTCTAGACCCAATTAATCCCAGATAGTAAACTCAAGCAAAAGTAAAAAACAAAATTTCACGGATCATAAAACCTGCATGGCAATGTAAGAAAAGAACATCATTACCTCTTTAAAGAAATAATAGAGACAAGTCCAATGATCTTTGCTTAAAGCGCCATAGTCACTCTGAATCTGTCACATAAACAGTTCAACCTTAAGAAAATAACTTATGCAAAAAATCTAGATAGCAAAGGTCTTTTCGATCAACATCTATCACCTAAACAAGAGTAATGTACATAATACAAAGTGTAATCATGAGAAAAACTTTGCTATCTGTTGCTTTCATATTTAGAGATCTTGTAAAGAACCTTGGGATACACCACCCCAAAAGCTAGCTCAAAAGGTGGAAGTGGTCCAAGGCCTTATAAATTCCACATTAGTTGCACATACAACCAATGTGGGACTATATATCTTAACACGCCCCCTCACACGAGAGCCCATTGGGCTTGAAGAGTGGAAGATGCAACAGGCCCAACCTACTTGTACTAAGAAAGTCCACAAGAGAAAGTGGGGGACAGCGAGGCTCTAATACCATGTAAAGAACCTTGGGATATACCATCCCAAAAGCTAGCTCAAATGGTGGGAGTGCCCAAGGCCTTATAAAGGCCACAAGAGCTCATTTGGCTTGAAGAATGGACAATGTACAGGCCCACCTACCTGTGCGAACAAAGAAATTCCACTTGAAAGAAAGTGGGGGACGACGAGAATCGAACCCGGGACACGAGGCTCTGATACCATGTTAAGAACCTTGAGGTCACCACCCCAAAAGCTAGCTCAAAGGGTGGGAGTGCCCAAGGCCTTATAAACTCCACATTAGGTGCACTTACAACCAATGTGGGACTATATATCTCAACACGTCCCCTCACACGAGAGCCTTTTGGGCTAGAAGCGTGGAAATTGCACAGGCCCAATTTTTGGGGTGGTGTATCCCAAGGTTGTAGAAAATCAGAATTCAAATTCAAACATTTATCCCAAGGTTCTTTACATGGTATCAGAGTCTCGCCGCCCCCCACTTTCTCTTGTGGAGTTTCTTAGCACAGGTAAGCTGGGCCTGTTGCATCATCCACTCTTCAAGCCCAATGGGCTCTTACGTGAGGGGGCGTGTTGAGATATATAGTCGCACATTGATTGTGTGGGCAACTAATGTGGCCTTTATAAGGCCTTGGGCACTCCCACCCTTTGAGCTAGCTTTTGGGGTGGTGACCTCAAGGTTCTTAACATGTAAAGAACCTTGAGGTCACCACCCCAAAAGCTAGCTCAAGGGATGGGAGTGCCCAAGGCCACGCCCCCTCACACAAGAGCCCATTTGGCTTGAAAGGTGGACAACATACAAGCCCACCTACATGTGAAAATTCCACTACATAGAAAGTGGGAGGCGGTGAGATTTCGAACGCTCTGATACCAAGTAAAGAACCTTGGGATATGTAAAGAACCTTGGGATACACCACTCCAAAAGCTAGCTCAAAGAATGGGAGTGCCCAAGGCCTTATAAAGGCCACTTTAGTTGCCCACACAACCAATGTGGGACTATATATCTCAACACGTCCCCTCACGCAAGAGCCCTTTAGGCAAGAAGCGTGGAAATTGCACAGGCCCAATTTTTGGTTTACCTTTTTGTGCTTTTTATTTTAATTCCACTTTAAAGTGGGGGACAGTGAGGCTCTGATACCATGTAAAGAACTTTGGGATACACCACCCCAAAAGCTAGCTCAAAGGGTGGAAGTGTCCAAGGCCTTATAAATTCCACATTAGTTGCGCATACAACCAATGTAGGACTATATATCTTAACAGATCTTCCTAGAAAAAATCCGATAAGGATGCACAAAACTATTTTGGATTGTGAACCACACAAGAAAAAATACTTTTATAAACAATTGAGTGTAGTTTTTAGAGTGGCATAATAACTAATTACAACAATTTATTGACATTTTTCACAATCCAAGGTGATTTCTGCATATCATTGGAAGTCTTTACTCCCAACAAACCTTTATATGCATCATGGAAGATGATACAAAAAGGCTAGAGTAGCATAAATTAACACGTAAGATATATAAAAAATAATGTAAACAATTATTCACTGTAGATATTCTAGAGGCATAAATAAGCAACCTGAAAGTTAAGAAACACGATATAAACAGTCACCCACCTTTAGATACTCAATTAGTAAATTGACCTGAGTAGGATATGCGGGTCTCAGAACAGCATTTAACAGCTGACAAGCAGAATCAATATCTACAGTCCGCTGATGATCTTCTGAAAGTATTATTCAATGTTCAAATTAACCACAACAAATCTGAATTGTAATCGAAATATAAGGCCATTAATAGCACGCTTACCCATTAGGTTGTATTTAAATGCATAGAAATAAAAATCCTCAAACCACTGTGGTTCTATCACCTCACCAAGAATCTTCTCGAAGGACATCTATAGTTAATGGATAATCTCAGTAAGAATTCAAGAAAAATTCACTATCTAATTTATAAAAAACTAAATACCTCTTTCTCCAGTCCATTAAGTTCTTTTCTTAATTTCCTGATTGTGTCAACTCCTAAGCCTTTAAGGCCTCTTCGCCACTCATCCTATGAAGGGGAAAGGAAAAGGAGGTTATCATGATATTCAAACATAAATCATGATAAGGAAATTCAAACTGTCTAAAGCTTTCACTCTCAAGGGTAATATATACAACTATTTCAGCTTTTCCAGCAGTTATTGCTGTAAATTAAAATTTTATTTACCAAAGGGAACACTAAGTATAGACAAAGAAGTCCTCATCATCCCAGAAAAAAATATGGAGGCCCCAAAATTCAAAAAGTAAAAGAAAAATAAAAAAAAAAGAATGATGAACATAAGAGTTCGTTGCATTCACAATTAAAATACCTAAAAGTTCTTCTTGAAAAACCAAGAGCAGCAACCTAATGAAAATACAAAGCAGTCGATACACAGCACCAAAGTTTTGTTACCAAGTTGTTTGGTTTGTTACTAGATGAAAGTAACTTCCACTTCACTCGCTTCAAAACTTGTGCCCTTCTTTAAATATTTTTACCTAATTGAGTTAGAACATTATGAAAATTGTATTCAAGTTAAGATTTTAATACTTTATTGTATATGTTTTTAGGTGTTTATAGGACATAACCTCTGATGATGATATCCTGAGGTATTCTACCAGGTTCAATTAAGAGCATGAAGCCATGCACATGCTTGTGAGTGTGTCCAATGAATTGATAATGATGAATTAAACGTTTCAATATTCAGCTGTGAAATTATTAATAAAATATAGAGGCAATGCTTTGCTCTGCCTACCTTAGAGAAAAACCCCAGATTTTTAGCTTCCATTTTCCTACACGGTCATGTAACTATAAAGGTTAATAAAAGATAAGTAGGATAGGTATAAAGCAGAACAAAATCCACAAGATGATACATACCAAGCAAGAATCAGTATTCTAACATCTGTATGGTCCACATACAAATCATCACAAAGAGCTTCAATCCCTTCTGGGCTGACCAACCAAATGAAAAATATAAAGAATTAAGAGTCACATTAATTTTATTGATTCACACCCATAAAATTTAAGCAATTATATATATAACAAAATATTATAGATTTTTCTGTATTTAATACATCATACATCAAAGACAAGTTTCCCGAGTAAACTAAGCAAATAATATGCACACCTACCATTTCTGTTATTTTAACAGGATGTGGCAAGAAACAAGCTCTAAATATAAACCAAAAGCAAGTTCTGAACCTCAACCTGTGTTTGTCTCTGTGATTTTCTAAAGTTCTTTCCATGAAGAGACGATTCATTTTATAGATAACAATGATGATACGCCCAATTCCTAAATTATATCTTTCTACAAAACTTTTTATTAGATCTAACCAAGTATGAATTCCATTTCAAAAATCAAAAGTATTACATATATTCACTTTGGGAAATATAAGAATCATGTTGCAGGAATGACACTGTTCATTCCTGCAACAAGAATCCGGCAACGTATCTTAAGGATACGGCGCTGTATCTTGATTTTGGTTTGACTTTTTTTTTTAAGCGTGGGACCCACACTTGATTTGTGTGTGCAGGAAAATGATCTTTCATGTGACATGACAAAAAGCGAACCCATTCACTTAATATGACTTTATTTTTTGTATTACCAAGGTTTTCCCACACCCTTTGCGTGTGATATTAATCCTCACCAACAAGACCAATTGCCCTATGAAAAAACAAAATTAGGACCTACAGCAGGACAGAGGTCAACTTTGACTAAACATGTAACTTGTGGACAGCATTTCTTGTGAGCAAGAAAGATATCTTCAACAAATAAAAAAATCATGCAATTTGCGTACACTGAAAACGAATCTCTGTATAAAGCATGTGCATACTGAAACAAGTGGGGGAATGATTTCAACATGTGCATACTTACTCAATCAAGCCCGATGACCTATTTACGTATCCTTCAAATAGGCTATCAATTGGATCAACTTTGTCGACTTTTGATCTCTTTGGTGCTGAATCAACAAGAAACGAATTAACTGATACCAACTTCCTAGAAGAACTCAGAAAAAAGATGGCAAGCATTACAAGGAAGAAAAGGAAGATCAAAAGAAACCTTCCAACAATAACACAGACAACTAGAACAATCACGCATTATCCACACTTAATATACTTTATTTTTATGATGTTCCCAATCTCTACCACAAAGTACTCATTAAGCTAAGATGATATTTAATCCACTGTGACATGGTTCATATGAATATTTAATCCAGGAAATCTTTTAACTTCAGTTCTTTAACCACCCAAACTATTTGGTTTTCCAAGAAAACAGAGGAAAACCCAATTTCCAACTATCACGTCATAGTTTATTAAAAAGATAAAAGGAAAATTAAAAAAATAAAAGGTTGAAAAGAAGAACGAATTGAAGAAGTAACTGTACTTGGAAAAAAATCATAGTCAGGAGGATCAATTGATCTGGTCGGTTTTCCCTTCTTGCGTGGCATTCTGAGCTCTGCGAAGAATCAACGTGAAAACGCTTGAATGGGTGAATGCATCTAAATCGCTACAATTACCAGAAATTTCTTGTAATGAATGAACAAAGCTCCAAGATTGAAAGGATCAATACACAGCTATCTGCCTACGCTATTGAACGAAGGTAAGAGTGAAAGAAGCGCCAAACTCTTCTTTCCTTTTCTTATTTTCTTTGAATTTTGCTTCTTATATACACGTCACTACCCAAGTACCCATCCCTCTTCTAAGTATGTTTAAAGATCAATGACAATTTTTTTTTCCCTAATACAAAGTTCCTTTCATATTGTTTGATAATTAGTTAATTACTTTTCAATTAAGTGAATTTGTGACATGTTGGGCGAAAAGAATAATGTGAAAAATACGAGAAATGTTATATTTACAATTTATTTTTGATTATAACTTTTTATAATTATATTTTAATTATTGATTTTTGTCAATGAATGGTTATTATTTTCGCAAATCAAACTTATTAATTAATTATTAATTAACAATAAATGATAATTATTGATTAGAGGAAATCAACGATTAAAATATGATTATAAAATAGGGATCTGCCTACTCTTATTTTGTCTATATTTGCTTACCTCTTTCAATACCGTTAGATTACAATCTCATACAACGAACGGTGAACATTTGTGATATAAAATAAACTTTTTTATCCCTTTCTCTACACCACTGCCTCTCACTTTTTCTCTCCCTTTTTTTTCTCTTTCTTCAATGGCGTTTCAGCATCAAAAAAAGGTGCAAGCTTTTTTCTCAATTTAACCAACACAGTCATTGTTATGAGTATTTAGACAAAAAATTGAAATGGAGTGTCAAGAAGAAATAAACTCATATGTCTTATGTTATGGAACCAGATAGGCCTGTTGTTGGGCGTAACATAGAGAGAACAAAGATCATTTCCCCACTTCAAGGTGAAAAACAAGATAAGAAAAAGGAGATAAGTTTCAAATTTCAACAGCAAAGTAGAAAATACAGGGTTATTAGTGATTTTCGTTTTTTTTTTTTGTAATTTTGTGGTTTATGTCGTGCTAAATTATATCATATTCAAGAAATTTTAAAAATTATATTCATCCAACAAAATTATCATGTCATTAATCATTGCATGGATTTAGATTCAAATATAAATTCAGGTTGTAAATTACGCAAATCAATAGATCCCGCATGGGTGTTAACGAGCCGAGCCGAGCTTTGGTCACAAAAGCCTAAGCCTGTGTTTAAATGTGCTGGCCTTACCAAGCCTGTTACCTGTTATGAATATAATTATTGGCATGTGGCCTACCTTATTTACAAAAGATAAAATCCTGATTTAGCCTGTTTAAAAAAAATAACACAATAAAAATTTATCCAAAAACAGAATATACAATCAACAACACTAGTAATTCCATAAATATTCATAAATTCAATGTATATCCAAACAGCATAATATAGAATAAAATCATTCAAAAAGTTTGTGTAACTAATAAATTAGGGGTGAAATGAATTGAGAAGAGAGAGCTATTACAAATAGTATAAAAAATATAAATAAAAAAAATTAATATAGTAAGCCAGTCTGAGAGGCTCCAAGACTGAGCTTGTGAATTGGAGCCTGAGGCTTTTTTACAAAACGAGCTTCTATACAAGTCTGGTTCCAACAACGAATATTAGACATGTAAGCTTAGGCCTTCACGAGCCGAGCCAAAGGCCCCTGAAAGGCCCATGGCTTGTTTATCACCCCTAAATAGAGGGAAAAGGGAAGAGAGAGAGTGTAAGAGGCAGTAGGAAGGAAAAAAGAAAGGGAAAAAGAGTTTATTTTATTCTGCAAATCTTCACCGTTGGATGAGATTATAATTTAACAATATTGAAATAAATAGGTAAAGGTGAGCAAAATAAGAATAGGTAAAATAATTTATCACAACATTATAATACGAAGATCCGATTGGTAAAAGATTTTGGTACACCCAAACCCTTTGGCACAGTTGGTCCGGAGGCTGTGTTCCCTTAACCAGTGGTCTCGAGTTCGAACCCTGGGTATGGAAAAAAAAAATTGGGTAGAGCTGCCCCGCAAGAGTCCTACGATGCTCGGTTTGGATTAGTCTCACCCCCGAAGGGGTGGGGATACCTTTCAGTTTACTGAAAAAAAAGATTTTGGTACATTGATTTGAGCTTTTATGAAGTTTTCTTTACGAAAATATATATACAATTACGTTTATCTTCCCAATACCTTAACAGCGCATCGAACAGAATTTGTTTAGGTCTCTTTGAAAAATTGAGTTTATTCTAAGAGTAAATATTTTTTTTAGTTCCTAACAAAAAAATATTATCTTTATTTTAGTCTTTTATAAAAAAAAAATTAGTTGTCTGATCTTTATAAAATTTAAAGTGGACCTATTTTAGTATTTTTGAGGGATTAATGTGGGTCTTTTGGAATTTTTGCAGGATTACGGTTTCAATTAAATGGGTCCACTTTGAATTTCTTAGAAACTTCAAGACTATTGTTTTTTGTACGGGACTAAAGTGAGGACTATATTTTTTGTTAGGGACCCAAAAAGATATTTACTCTTATTTTAACATGGCAAACGCATAGATGGAAATCGACTTCCTTTTGTAACCAAAAAATAAATAAATTTTGTATTGTAACTAGGAATGTTAAAGGATTACGCAGATAAACAGGGGCCTACGACCTCATCTATATTAAGTCAAACTTGGTCTATTATAAATAGTTAAATAAAATAGGCCTAGACTTTTAAAAAAACTAATTTAAAAAATAGGTTATAGGCATTTTTTATACATGTCGGGCTTATAAACCTACAGGCTAGCCTACATCATATTATTTATTTTAAATAAAATAAGTAAAATTATTATTTTAATAATTTTGAATAATGAAGTAATATTATTTTAATTATTTTTTTAATTATTGAATGTTTAATGAGCTTAAAAAGCTTTTATTTTTAAAATATGAGTCAGGTAGACTTGTAATTTGGATCTACACAGCCTAACAGGTCACCTCATCCCTAACATTTTTTACACAATTTTAACTTATTTAAGGTAAAGCCTAACCTAATTACACCCCAAATTATAATCCTAAAAAAATTGAAATGAATTTTGTAGTCCTAGTTTATATATAAAATTTATTCACGACTAATCGTCAAGACTATTCCCTTAGGCCCATCTCAAGCCCAATACATTAGTCCATCCCCATTTACCTTACGCAAACATTGTTGTATAAGAAATTTCAAAATACGATTATATGAAATTTCTTATATTTGGTACCAGAATCTAGTTTATATGATTTAGAACCCAATTATCTATGTTTGGTATGATTATAATTTTCTCTCTCTTTCTTGAATATGAAATTCTTCTATCAATTGATTAATAAAAAAAAGGAGGGATAGTAAAGGCCCATTGATTTATATAACATCACTCACATGTTGGAATTGGAAGCCATCGTCAATTTAGATTTTACATCTCTTCTCCCTTATAAGTTATAACATTGATATCGTACAAAATTGGAGATATATGATGGCGTCCGTTTTGAAAGTTATCCATAATTGTTGATAACATTAAATTTGTTATCCTATGTTGTTATCCCTTAAAATAAGGCTACATGTTGAATTAGTTTTGATATTTGAGGATATCCTATAAATTACGAGTTCATTCATGCTCTTGCTTTTTTAATTTTTTTATTATTATTATATTTTATAAGAATGAATTTGTTACCATGATGTTGAATCAATAAAAAAATTTGTGAAAACCATTAAATTTATTAGATGTGACAATCGTGATGCATAATTGTTAGGATCAATATGTTTAAATATTAAAAAAATGTTATTAAATAAAATAAGAAGGGTATCTCTGATACCTGCGTTTCAATATTCAACTATGCACATTTTATATTTATTTATATAGAGAATACTTCAATGATTATCTTCTTAATTCATAAATAAATTTATATAAAATATGATTGATTGTAGTCGATATTACATTCAATTATAGCTGGTGCTTGTTATTATGTTTACAATAAATATATTTGTTGTCCATACTTCTTTCAAAGGCAAATTGGCCAACCATTATTACTTGACGTTTTATTTTACAATATAAAAGGATGAAATTTGCTTTCAAAGTCAGGTTTACAATTTTCAAATCCAATGTGTTATTCAATATTTTTATGCTTTGAATAATAAAATAATAAAATAATAATGATAACGATTCCAATTTTTTGTGTCAAAATTGATATGATCAATGTTTCTATTGCCATGTTCATGTTTTTCAAATAATTTTTTATTTTTTAACATAATTATTTGTGAATGTTGTAATTGGTGTTGAGTTTTGCTCTTTCACTAAAGCCCAATAGGATTTAGAGTGTAAGAAGAGTCCAAGAAACCTAAAGCTCATTCTGCTTAGGGTTAGGGTTTCTTGGAACCCATATATATTCCACTCTTATAGTCATCAGTCTCTATAGTCTTCACTTGGTGGTTGCAAAGGCTAAGGTAAGGTTATCTCCCTGAAAGTGAGAGAGTGCCCACACACTTCCCGTTACCCCTTGAGACATAGTCTAGAAGATCTGCCACAGTCCAGCTTCAAGGAGATTGTTCGTGCTGCGGCGCTGAGGTGAGCAGTTCGTGAAGAGAAATCATACAAGGGAAGATTCTACACGAGATTTGCGCACTAAGAGGTAATCGTGAAACGAGGATAATTCGGTAAGCTACCAATGTACTAGGTCCTAAATCGCTTCCACATAAATCCAATAGCTCCTACAATTGGTATCAGAGCTATTGGATTTATGCGGAAGCGGTTTAGGACCTAGTACATTGATTTGATTAAGGTTGTTTTTCTGTCATAAGGTATCAAATCTCCAGTTAACTATAGTTATATGATTGCTCTTAATCCTGAGTTTATTATAAATAGGTAATCAAATAGGAAACTTGTCCGGCTGATTTGCTCCTTTCCTTATTGTCCATAGTTTCTGTTTCAAACCACTTTATGGTAACCATGGGCCCAAAAGCCCAAAATAGCAACTTTTAGCGAGAAACCCTAAGTCAACATTCAGGAACCCTAGCCATCACGTCCACTGCGTCGTCACCCGAACTCATCTCAGCATGAAACTTCAGGGGTTAGATTTGAGGGTAAAGTCTCAAGATGCATTTTTTATGTTCCATGCATTTTGTTAAATGAAAATGTAAGAACAGGGAAAACAAAAGGGGTAAAACACTTATTTAAGGGGGGATTTTCAGAAGAAAAAAAAAACATCAAATGTCATGAATAAAGCCTTTATTGATGTCAACTGAGTTTGAGTTTCATTACCTCTACCTCACAACTGAAATCAAGTGTTCACTGATGCTTTGGTTTGGGTTACAAAGCAGATAGACGAAGAGTGTGCTATTTGCCACATGCAAAACCAAGACTTCATTCGCAGTTTCAAGATCCATTCTGCTACCCACAAATTGCAAATGACCTTTTCCACGGACATACTCGGGTCTCACTTTCGCGCCATAGCAGAGGGTATTTTTGGCAGTGAAATGCTCTTCTTTCTCCCATTAGCACAGGGTACTTGAAATACCACATTGCAAAAGGTTTTTCTCAACAGTGTTTCCCCCCTTTTTTACACACAAATGCAAACGGCTTGGCAACACGGATGCATGGAGAAAATTTTCAAAAACTTCAACCAAACAAAGAAGTCCAAAAAAGCCACACTCAGATGCATGGGTAAATTCTACAAAAACCTGAACCAAACGCCCCCTTAAGGTGTCTAGCATTTTATGAATTTATCTTAATATCTTGAGATAATTTTTTTCGTGCATCATGACATTTTAGGCTTAGCACCTCCTTTTTGTAACCGAAGAGTAAATAAAAAGTTTGTAGTATACTCGTAAAAATATTTTAAATGAATTTTGTAATCCCCATATTTACATAAAATTAAAACAAAAAAATGAATTTTGCAAAAGAATGTTATTTTATCATGAATTTGAATAAATACAAAGCCCTTTTTTGGGAGCATATTTTCATTGCTACGTTGAATACCCATTTTCTTATAAAAAAAATATGGGTCATAAAAATAGAGTAATATAAATAAATTATTTTTTTTATCAAATGATGCATCCATGTTGGATACTTCTGTTACTGTAACACCATGATATATATATATATATATATATATATATATATATATATATATATATATATATATATAATATATATATATATATATATATATATATATATATATATATATATATATATATATATATATATTGAAGTCTTGTTTTAATATGATTTGTTGCCATGTGAAAAATGGTACTTATATGTGTGCAGAGCAAATTAGACCGGTGGATGATAAATAAAAGATTAAATATGCTATGGTCCTTAGAGAAAAAACATGCAAAACCCATTTTAATTTATTAGAAAAAATATTTTAAAAAATTAAATTTTTTTGAAGACTAAAGTGAGTATTCTTTGAATTTTAGAGGAACCATAATTTCAAAGAACTAAAATTTCAAAGGAACATCAAGTCGATTTTATTTTTTCTAAGGAATTAAAATAGATTTTATGTTTTTTTGCTGAGAATCAAAAGGTACTTTACACTAAATAAAAAAGTAATATTTATTATTTGAGAAAAGTTAAAAAACATTTTATTTTGATAATTTATTAATCTGAGGAAGGATATACTTACGACCACAAAAGTTTACCACCTTTAAAATTAACTTAATTACCGTTGTTGATTTTCATCAACCTAACGATTATAAATTATTGAAAATTATCGGGTACCACTTATTAATTAATTATTAATTTATAATAAATTATATTCGTTAAATCGATAAAAATCAATTAGGTTAGTTGGAAATGTAGTAAATATTTTTTGTGGTAAATATATCATTCCCCTATTAATATATATACCTAATTTCGTGCATAAATAATGGGCTGAGCCCAATAGTTTAATGGGTAACAAGCAAGAACCCGGTCCAATTCCAAAACTGGGAGCGTGCCTGTAAAAGGTTTAGCAGTTGAAGTAGGGTTTCATTGAGAAGTCTATCGAGCCTGCTCTGCTTCTGCTGCGGCGTGTTCGATAATCGGCAGCGAAAATGGTAAGGAAGAATCTCCTTTGTTTCTTTGTGTGTGATTATTGCAAGCATTGTCGATTATGACACGTGCCATTTGGATTTTGTGTAGCCTTCACACAAGACCTTCAGGATCAAGAAGAAGCTCGCCAAGAAGATGAGGCAGAACAGGCCCATCCCTTACTGGATAAGGATGAGGACCGACAACACTATCAGGTTCCCGCAACCTCTATTACCTGTTCCTAGAAATTTCAGAATTTTTTTTTTGGGTTTCTGTTATTATGACTTTTATGCCTTACTCAACTTTTTTTTTTAATGTGTGTGTCTGGTCAGGTATAATGCTAAGCGTAGGCACTGGCGCCGTACCAAACTCGGATTTTAAGGTGGATGAACCTCTGACTCGAGATTCTAAGCTGTTTTTGGTTTTGTTGAATGTTACCATAGATATGGAAAGGTTGTAGTTTTGATCATTTGTTTATACAGAGGGATCAATGTAGAGCGTTTCCGTAATTTTGTAATTTTTGTTTTTGTTATTCATGTGAAACTATGACAGTGGCTTTTATTTATTGCCTTTTTTCTCAGATTTGAAAACCCAATTCTATGGAAATTTTGAATGGGGGTTGTTCTCGTGAGCTTAAGCAATAGCATGTGAATTTGCATGGTAGGACTGATATATTAGGACTTTAACTAGGCCATCTACCTTAACATTTTTGCATGCATGATATTTATCTCAAGCTTAATCAGCATCTTCTACTATGATTCTTCATAGCTCTCTTTGTTTGGAGCAGTAATCACCATACTATATTTGATGAATCTTTGAATCATATTAGTTTCGAAAACCCAATGCAATGTAATATTGAATGGCGTGGCTCTGTTATTTATGTCATTTGGCTGTAGCCATTGTACAATGAATACTGTAATTCAGATTTTGCCAATACAATTACTAAGTTAGACAGACATGCCTTGCATTTTTTGAATTTAAAGTTGGTTGGTAAGATTCTTATTGTAAGACTGGGGGATTTGTTCATACCATATGTGGAATGTCATCAGTATAAACAATAAAGATGTAAAATAGAATTCAACATGATTTCAGCAGTCAACAGAGTCAATTGCACCTTGTAGAAGCATGCTGCATGATTCCTGAGTTAAACACCCAAATGTGTTTGTATTTTAATTTTTAAGCTATAATGTTTGGAGTGATTAGTGGAGAATTTCGTTAAAATCCCTTTTGTCATTTTGTCACTAGAAATATAGGTGTTTATCAGCATATTCGGCAGAGAATGTGGCTGTGATTGTTGAAGGAAGCAAACTCATTACATGACAATTGATTTTGTAACCTGTAAGCTTGTTTAATTTGCCTTATAGGGACTTGGAGGAACTGGTCTTATAACGATTATATTCTCCTGTGTCCCTTTCCTCTCTGGTTTTACAGAAATACCTCCTCGACACCGTTACGTTGTTACTCCACAACTCTTTCCCTCACTCAAAAATGTCCAAAACACCTCCCTGCAATTCGTCTCTCCCAAATTTCTTCCTGATATTTAAAACATAGCAAGACTTAATTAAAGACGATGGGAAAATTTGATACCAAAACTGGATCTTGCAATTTTTCAAAATAAATAATGTACACCATTTTTTTTTAAACAAATTCCCCCAATCAGTGTTATAAACTAATGCCGTTATTTAATTTATTATCTATCCTTTTTATGAAGGGATACAATCAGAGCTTCTCTGCATTACGCATCATCTCATATACACCAATTACCGAAATTATTGAAATAGAAAAAATAAAAAGGGGATTAGATGGTACCAATGAAAACCCACCTGTAAACATCCCCTTCGCATATGCAAACACCTTCTGTAGGTGGAATAGGATCAGATTTTTTATTGAAACTAAAGAGGAAAGGGATTGAGGAGAGACTACCCAAAACGTGCAGGGAAGTGTTTTTTGCAAAACTACAAAGAGCAAAGAGAGAGGAGGGGGTAAGAATCAAGAGAGAGATGAAATTAAGAATAATTGATTTAGAATTGATCCCACGGTTTTTGTTTTGTTAAGACTTGTGCATTTATTTCTTATTTTATTGGTGCCAGATATCCCTTATTTTGTTGGTGCCAGATAGTTGGTATGGGATTATTGTTGTATTGAATGGTATTATTCTTTTCATTTAATTATGTTAACAAAGGTATAAAAAAAAGAAAAAAGAAAAGAAACACTCATACAACAACCTAATTTACTAAACCATGTTTATGCTCCATGGTTGTTCGAACCAGGGGATCAATGCTTATTTATGATCAGTTAATAAGGTCGCCAGCAATGAAGAAGATGCAATCATTGGTGTGACACATCAATGGATATGAAGGTGTAGAGACATGAAGCCAAGGTGTGGTGTGTGTGGGGCAGTAGACATGAGAGCTGAGGCGTCACAAAGAGTGCCTTTGGCTATTTATAGGATATACGATTATTTCAAGAGTTTGCATAAGATATGAAATCTCCTTCCTCTCGAGATATAGGGCTCTAATAAGAGATATATTTCACTTTGAATGGCTAGATGATCCTTCAAAAATAAAAAATGACATATTGGGCCGTATGGACCTTGGCCAATATCCAGTCCAGAACAATCATAAGTGTTACTTTAGCTCTGATACTTGTTATTGATATACCCTATAAGGCTAAATGACTAAATTGCCTTTTGCTGCATATAAGTTATCTGCAGTAAATTCAATATGATGTCGTTTTGAAGCAGAAATTATAATGTTTTGTAATATTAATTTATTTCAAGGTTATTATAGTCTTTATAATTATAATTTTTTAATATTTCAATCCCAAAATGACGTTGTTTTGAGAATAAATGCATTATTTTGGGAGTAAATCTAGATAACTTATCTGCAGTAACTGCAGAAATATTTTTCTAATTTTTGTGTCATAAAATGTTTAATTGTTGGGAAAAGAGCGTTTGTCTTTTTAAATGACACAACTTATATCATTTCACTATCACAAAGAGGTGGAGCCCACGCCTTTATATTTTTTTGTCCACTCTCTCTCCTTCTTTATCTATCTTTTTGCCACCGCTCCAGTTCTGGCTTGTGGCTTTTCAAAAAATTTCATTGATCGCCGCATCTCCTAAGTCCTTTATCACGAAAATCTTGTTATATGAATGATTTTTTTTAATTTTTTTCTCTTCAAATTGTATTATAATTATTGTTAAAATAGAGACAAAAGAGATACCAACACCCACAAGTTTTAAAACAACTCTAGATAGTTTTCCAATGACACTTTGATAGTTTCATATAAAAGTCGTGAGAATTTTTATACGGCAAAAATGTTTATTCTTTTAAATAATATAAATTGTGTCATTTCACTCTCACGAAGAGGTGAGACTCACACTTTTATTTTTTATTTTTGTCAATTCTCTCTCCTCCTTTATGTATCTCTTTCTCTCTCTTGAAATGACACAATTTTACATCATTTAAAATGATACACACTTTTTTCCTTAATTGTTAACCGTTCTATAGTATATAAAAAGGAAAAAGTGTGTGCCATTTTAAAAGATGTAAAGTTGTGTCATTTCAAGAGAGAGAAAGAGATACATAAAGGAGGAGAGAGAATTGACAAAAATAAAAAATAAAAGTGTGAGTCTCACCTCTTCGTGAGAGTGAAATGACACAATTTATATTATTTAAAAGAATAAACATTTTTGCCGTATAAAAATTCTCACGACTTTTATATGAAACTATCAAAGTGTCATTGGAAAACTATCTAGAGTTGTTTTAAAACTTGTGGGTGTTGGTATCTCTTTTGTCTCTATTTTAACAATAATTATAATACAATTTGAAGAGAAAAAAATTAAAAAAAATCATTCATATAACAAGATTTTCGTGATAAAGGACTTAGGAGATGCGGCGATCAATGAAATTTTTTGAAAAGCCACAAGCCAGAACTGGAGCGGTGGCAAATCACCCATATTCTCAAGCATAAGCATTATTGTAACGTTGTAAGTTGTAACGCTCTCTCCGCGGCCGGTTAATTAATATTCATATGATAGTAAGCGCAGCGTGCTCAACTTAATTAATGCGGAAGTTAACTAAATAGGTTTACTTTTTTTCCTTATGTATTGCAAACTTTTCACTTCTATGGCCAAAATAAAACGGACAACATTTCTTCTGTATTTTGAATTATTGAGGATAATTCCCACTATAAAAATTTCAACCTGATTGACGATTTAATATAACTCAGGCATACCACAGCATAGATAAAACACATTGCCCAGTCATCCATGGCCTAGGCTATTTCATTATCACACTGTCTCAAAATAATTTCCATGATGTTACTTATATAATTACATCAAATAAACAAAAGAGATGCAATTAAATAAGTAACATAGACCTGAGCATGCATCAATAACAGCATATACAGACTATCGACATGGCACAAACACTCCTTATGCTCTCAAAAAATATAAATGGCATGTACAACTCAAAATAAAGTATGTCAGGTACAAATCTAAGTATCCACAAGACCCTGACAATCATGTCAAGTAATATCTCTCATCTGGCCTCTTGCCACGCGATGCCTCAGCACCATCAGCTCTTGTACCTGAAATGTTAATCCCCACAACACAGTGTGAGATAATATAATTACTTCAGTAAGCTAAGGACCCTTGGAGGGCTCCTCCACCCCTAAGCTCACTTCTGGTATAAACTCAGTATAAAAATCCATGTATGCATCAGAATATGTATGACAATGCAGTGTGCAATAATGTAATCCTATTGGCCAGAGAATATAACAAGTATGCATTACGCAAGGAAACACCGTCTTGCAACATACCATATGAGGAAACACTGTCTCATACTATGCATAAGGAAACACTGTCTTATGCCTCACACAAGAAAACACCGTCTTGTGTGGCACACAAACATACATACATATACATGCAACATATAACAAATCATTTTCAACATATCATATCAAACTACCACCCTCCCTCGGCGTTTGGTGGAACAAACGGGGGATTAACTCCAAGGACCGAAAGCTTACCTCGCAAGCAAAGTCCTTCTATAAATCTCGGGTCCAGGGATTCACAACCACAATCACAACCTAGTTCTAAAAATGTGAATACAATTAGCATATCACTAATCTATCACCATCATTAATGCATACATACGGTATCTCTAATTTTTCTGAATACATTTTCACCGTTAAAATTCTCATCTAAACATTTTTCTCAGCATGGGCTAAGCCTCAATCAAGCTCTAACATGCTCAATCAAGTCAAACTTTAAAAATAAAAACCTAAATCAATTTTTCTTAAAACTCAAAGAAAACTAGGATTTGTTAACATAGACTTACCTAAAATCATTCAACGAGTGAATTCCCAACCTCAAATAAGATCAAAACGCCTTCTTGGACCTTCAATCAACAAAGGGGCGCCACTTTCCCTTCTATTTTTCTCTCAATACAAGGCTTTTTGATAGATTATGGATTAGGGGTTGTGTTTGTCTCTCAATTCTAAACAACTTTGCTTTTTACCTCACTTGATTTCATCAAAAAATGAGAAAGTTACAATTCAAGCTCTCCTTCCAATGGCCGCGGGTCGTCGACGCACATAGAAGAAAGAAAAGGAACGCACCCGGAGAGAAGA